GCAACAGGAGGCCGCGCAGCTTCAGCGCCTGGCCCGGTGCCTCCCTGGCCCCGCCGCAGCTCAGGCGTATCGTATCGGGCCACTGCAGAGCCCCGGTAAAGACGCCCGTGTGACAGCCCACCTTCTGGGGTCGCACACAGCACCCCACCAGCCTAGGCTGAACCCTTTATGCACCCCGCCAGGGGTGAACCACAGCTGTACAGGGCTGCAGGGAACCCAACTGTGCCACTCTGAGGACCCCCTACCCAACCAGGGACCACTGGGACCTGGGGGCGGGGCTGCCACTGCCTCCATCCCCACCCCCACGCCCGCAGCTCACAGTCTCCGCCACTGGGCTCAGGGAGGGGCGTACCTGAGGAGCTGGTGCTGGTCGCGGAACTTGTTGCTCAGCCTCCCGCCCCACCCCCCAGACATGCTGGGCGGCTGCCTATCTAGCTCTATCACAGGGGCCAGGTGGGGACATCTTACCAGGTGGGGGTCCCTGGGCCCGCACATAGCTTCGTAGAGTGATGTCGGCGGAGCCCCCTGACTCCAGGGGGATGGGGTGGGTGTGGAAGTGGCGCAGCATGTCCAGCACGGACTGGAACCACAAATGCTGCACGTGGCACTGGCCGTGGCCATTCAGGGACAGGCGCAGGTGCTGTGGGTGCAGGCAGGCCAGTCAGTGGTGGGGTCCTGGGCTGGCCATCTGGGCAAATGCCTTTTATGTGAGCCCATCTAGGGGTGGGTTCGTGACTGTTAGAGGTGGGGAATGCAAGCACAAGAGCCAGGCTGGGACTGAAGGGGACAGGTCTTGTCCACTCTGACAGCACCTGCTCTGTGCCTATGCTCGTGTCCTTCACTGCCCACCCTGGAAGACCCCAGAAGGTAGGGATTACTGCCCCCCACGATGGAGATGTGGGAGTGTGACTTACTCCATAGCTGCAGGGCACTGTGTGGGACAGAACTCATGCCTGTGTGATCCTGACAGCCCAGGAGGCCAGGGTTGGCTGCACAGTTCCTGCAGTGCCAAAGCTGCCTGCCTGTGCTCTTTAGCTGTGCAGCAGTGGGAGCAGCTGGATGTGGGACAGGGACAGTTTCTCTGAGTCCCTGGGGCCCACCTGAGGCAGACATTCAAAGAAGCCATAGGCCTGTGGTCTCTAGTGGTGGGCCACAGGTCTCTCGTTTCCACTGTTTTTTGTCCAGCATGCATCCCACAGCATGAAGAGTGGCTGTCTCTGGGGTGTGGCAGGAAGGGAGGTACAGGTGGGGGTCGGAGGGTATGCATATGGCCCAAAGCCCAGGTCAGGGGAGCTGGCCTAGCAGTTTACAGAGGACAGAGAAGCCCCCAGGGTGGGGTAGGAGTGACTGGTAGGCTGAGAAGAGCGTGAACAAAACTGGGGAAAATTAATGCCCAGGGCTGGGACCCAGCCTGGAGGAACAGCATAGTGAGGTCCTGTCATGGCGTCCAGTCTGGGCAGGGCCTTTGGGGGCAGAGGCCCAGAGTAGAGCTGGGTTACCAGGGCAGGGGGAAGCAAGGCAGATGTTCTGGATTAGGAAACATTTCCAGACTTTTGTTACCTGAAGGTGAAAAGAGCTTCCTTTGGGAGGAAGTGGCAGCAGAGGACTGGGGCCCTGCTGTACTAGACCCTTAATTTATGGGGCAGGGAGCTGAGAACAGCAGCTGAGTGAGTGGGGAGGGCCAGGTTCAAGGTTGTCTCTTGCTGGCCCTACTTAACCTTCCATGCTCCTTGGCAAGCTGAGTGCTGTCTGAGCCCTGGCTTGGGTATTAGTCAGATCCAGGCCCTCCGGGGAGGCACCACTGGCCAAGAAGTAAACTGGCAGCTACCAGGGATGGTGTTAAGCACCTGGTTGTTGTAGGAACTGCTAAGGTTGGCTGCCTTCCAAGGAGGTGTCCCTCAGGAGGTGCTACCTCCACTGTGGGGCCAGCACTGCCAAGGAGAGAAGCCATTGCTGGGCCAGCCCGGAGCTTGCAGACAGAAGCTGACCCCTTAGCTGCAGGCCTAAAGCAGGAATCCCAGGGTTCCCCCTCCTGCTGCAGGGGGTGCTGGGATGTGTCCTGGAAGGAGCCAGGGGTGGGTCTGCTTCCTTATTGGAACCCAGGGCTTTGGGGTGTGGGTGCTAAGGGTCCTGTCCACTCTGGCCATATGCTGTCAGACCCCACAGTCCTTTGACTTTTCTGTTACGTTTTCCTTTGCCCCACACGTCATTATGGCCCATGAGTCCCTTTTTGGCAGCTGACCTGTACTCATGGCCCTGCTTGGGTCAACCTCCCCACCTGTCTCCACCTCAACAATTTTTCCCCTGCACATCACAGATCAGGGTCCCTTCTGGCTCTGTCTTCAAGACCCTGTGCAGCCCTCCTGCTACAATACAGGGCCTGCATGTGTCCTGGGAGAAAGGTATATTGTCCTCTGAGCACAAGAGGCTGGAGAGTGTCCAGGGAAGGGAAGAAAAGGGGCTCTTTTAGGGTGTGGCTCTGAGGGCCTCAGCTGACCCCAGCCCTATAACCACATGGCTTTGGGTGGGGACCCTCGGAGGCCCTAGTGCCACAGATCCCCAATTCATAGGGCTCACAAGAATCTGCCAAGTTTGGGTCTCAGAAGGGCCTAAACTTAGGTGGGCCTGGCCACCAGCAAGTGGCTCCCCAATGGCTGGCATAGGCCCGGCTTATGGGAAGTCCTACTAAAAGCTGCAGGACCAGGGCCACTTCAGCCCCTTCCCCTGGGCTGGCTGCTACCCCCGCCCCACTTGCCTTGGCCTTGCCCTGGAAGTTGAAGGTCAGCACGTATTCCCCGGGCCGGGTCTCACTCTGGCGGATGACGAAGAGGCCATGGCTCCGGGGCCCTCCTGCCAGCACCAGCTGTGCGGCCTTGACCCGTGACAGTGTCCCGTGGAACCAGGGGTAGTCAGAGAGTTCCAGCTTGGGCTCCACATTGGGATCTGGCTCAGCACCCTCTTCCCCTGAGCAGGAGGTAACAGTGTAAGGGAGACATGGGCAACATCTTATTGGTTATGGGAAATGCTGTTTAATTTTTAGAACTAAGCATGAAGCTGATCCCCAGGGATTTTCTGCGAGGTAAACTGAGGAACAGAAGGGGAAGGATGATGCTGGGATCACTGCAAGTCAGCAACAAACCTGGGAACAAATCAAGTCTCCTGTCTTTACCCCTGGTTCCAACCCTCTGCACTCCTTTCCGTGAGCATTTTCTATGGAAAACAGGCCCAGTGAGAGGGTCAGGATAGACTGGCCAACAAAAGCCTGACTCAGGGTGGGTATGGTGGCACAGGCCTATAATCACAGTACTCTGGGAGGCTGAGGCAGGAGGATGGGAAGTTCCAGCCCAGCCTTAGCAACTGGGTGGTGAACCAAGATCCTGTCTTTAAAAAAAA